TTTTCGATAATAGAACTAAGAAATAAGAAAAATAATTAAAAATAATAAAACAAGAAGGAAACCCATGATTATCTGATAATTAACTAATTTTTACTTGGTTATTCGCGAGGGGTGCGCCACATTGTTCCAATCGGGGTGTTGTGAGTGAGAGTGGGATGGATGCCTGGCGCGGGATTACCACCGGTACTATTTTGCCTGGACTTCATCGCTTGGGTGTTACCGCTGGGTCGATTCGGGCACGGTACTCTGGTTCGGGACAGGCTCGGTATTATTACAACGCATTGTTGCATGGTACGGCACCCGACACCGACCGGTATGATAATAGTGCAGGCGGCGGTAAATCAGAGCGTCTCTTCGGAACCGGCATTGGAACGCTTGCTGGAACGGCACTGGTATGGAACTATTATCGCAACGGCATTGGCATGGGCGCTAATGGGCAGTTGGCTACTTACACGGTTCTAAGACGACAGGCCATGGCCCGGACCTGCTGGGTTTAGAAATTGGTCACTGGTTTGCCGTTGGAACAGAGGCGCGATGACCGGGTCTGGATTGACGAGGGCAAGAATTTTTCTGGGCCTGGAGCATTGGGGCATGTAGGGACTGCGGCGCGGACCGAGTCGAAGCAGGGCAGTTGGCCACAGACAGTGGATATAAGGGAAGTAAACGGGTACCAACGGGGTTTTTTCGAGGATGCGTGCCAGGCGTACCCAGCATCCCGGAAGTTGACTGAGAAGGGAGTGACGCGACGCAAGGAAGCATGCACGGTGTCCTCAGCCACCGCTGCCAACGCTGGCTGAAGACAACAGACACGGACGGTGAACAGCGGGGGTGCAGCGAACGTACAGTGGTTCCGTGCTGCCGCAGCGAGCGAGTGTGTCGGAACAGTGGACTAGGGGTGTGCAGCGGAGATGGGGCCTGTTCGTGCCCGTTCGCGGGAGCCAGCGGAGGATGAGCGGTAAGAAATCTGGGCCTGACATGAGCACGAGGAGACCAGTAGGTGCTCTCTTCCCTCAGCATGCCAACCGGGACATCTCCCCGAGAAGAATTACACAAAGGAACTAATTAAGCTTCATCCTACGAGGTTGAGGGACGGCTGGGCACACGGCTGCTCACACGGGGCGCACAAGCTTCTGCTCTACTTTCCTGTGCAGGAACCAGGGCATGATCCTGGTCACATACGTGTACTGAAATCTCAGTAAATGACCAATCAGATCGGAACGGACCAGCACAAGCATAATCAACGCACCTCTAATTAGCCAACTGGTACTGAAACGAAATTTGGAAACTGCGCACCAGTTGACCAGAGAGACCGAGGGAGAGGGAGACAATGGACTGAGGGAGAGAGAAACAACGGGCAGAGAGAGAAGAGAGAAAGAAGAGAGAAGAAAGAGAGAGGAGAGAGAGAGAGAGGGAGAAAGGGGGAGTACGGAGTGCATGGAGGAGAAAGAGAGTGCGCGTGAGTGAGAAAGAGAGAGCCTGTGTAGTATTTCATTTATTTTATTTTGCACATGACCCCAAGGACAGGGCAGGTACATTCAGGACGGGGTTAGCATGGAGTTGATCGTGGGGCGGAAGTGAGAAACCTGGTAGAGAGCATGAGCAAGCGGGATGACGTGTATGAGAAAGGAAAAGTGAAAGAAGCAGAGACTGTACACAGAGAAAGAGGAAGAGATTGTGAACACAGAGAAAGAGTGAGAGAGACTGTGGGTAGAGAGAGAGAGAGAGAGAGAGAGAGAGAGAGAGAGAGAGAGAGAGAGAGAGAGAGAGAGAGGACTGAAAAGAGAATAAGAGAGAGTAACAGAGCGGAAGTACGTGTTCATGGGAAAGAAAGAGAGATCAAGAGGAATTGGGAGAAAATGAGAAAAGAGGCGGGAGCGTGAAGAGCAGGTCGCTGTTTTATTATTTATTTATTTATTTCCAAAAAAAAAAATATATATATATATATATACATAAGAGAGAGCGAGGGGAAGACTATTTTCTCATTAATTAGTTCCCCTGTCGTTTTCCCTCGAATACAGCACATGGCTCGTTTCACTTGCGATGACTGTGTGTAGTACACAAGAGGAAAAGGATAGTAGAAATGGCTTATTGGTGTG